ATCTATCTATCTATCTATCTATCTATCTATCTATCTATCTATCTATCTATCTATCTATCTATCTATCTATCTATCTATCTATCTATCTATCTATCTATCTATCTATCTATCTATCTATCTATCTATCTATCTATCTATCTATCTATCTATCTATCTATCTATCTATCTATCTATCTATCTATCTATCTATCTATCTATCTATCTATCTATCTATCTATCTATCTATCTATCTATCTATCTATCTATCTATCTATCTATCTATCTATCTATCTATCTATCTATCTATCTATCTATCTATCTATCTATCTATCTATCTTCTATCTATCATCTATCTATCATCTATCTCTGTCTGTCTATTCCGTTTCCTGATGGTATTTTTTTTGAGACAGGGTCTCACTGTAGCCCTAGCTGGCCTGGAACTCACTATGTAGACCATCCCAGGCTGGCCTCTATCTCACAGAGATCCACCTGCCTCTGCCTCCTGAGTGCTGGGAATGAAGGTGTATGCCACCATGTCTGACTCCCAATGGTATTTTTGTTGTTAATTTACAATTTTATATGCAGATGTACTCTGTTATGCTTTTGATTTTTTATTTAATTTAATTTTTACTAGTTATTTGAGAATTTAATGTAGTGTATTTTAATCATATTCACCTCCCTTCCCAACTCCTCCAAAGTGCACTCCTGTCCCTTCCCATCCAACTTCGTTTCCTCTTTTTTTTGAACCTATAGAGTCCAATTTGTGCCTCCCCTATACTCTTATGTGTGTGGCCATCTACTGGAGTGTGGTAGACCTTCCAGGCACCCCACTCTTAAAGAAGACCAACTCTTTCTTTCTCAGCAGCTATTAATTGCTAATAACTCCTTAGGCAGGTGTGGGACGTCACATATCTCCCCTCTCTATGCTGGGATTTTGTGTGGCTTGAGCTTGAGTAGGTCTTGTGCACGCTGTCACAACTGCTGAGTTCATGTGCACAACTGGCCTGTCGTATCTGGAAAATATTGTTTCCTTGTAATCACCCACTGCCTCTGGCTCTTACAATTTTTTTGTGTCTTCTTCTGTAATGGTCCCTGAGCCTTGGGAGGAGAGGGTATGATATAGATGCTCCATTTAGGGCTGAGCATTATTACACAGTCTCTTGTTCTCTGCGCCTTGATCAGTTTTGGGTCTCCATCAGTTGCCACCTACCACTAAAAGAAGCTTCTCTGATGAGAGTTGAGAGATACACTAATCTATGGGTATAACAATAAGTTATTAAGGGTCAGTAGTAGGTTCTCCCCTAGGGCCTACAACGTGTCTAGCCATGGGTACTTGGCCCCAGTAGTGGTACCAAGAGTAAGTTTCATCTTGTGGCATGGATCTTAAATACAATCAGTAAGTTTTTCTCTACTGCCATAACATTTGTGCCACTATTGCACCAATAGGCATGTCTTACCAGACCAGTAGTTAGTGCAGCTTGCAGGGTTTACAGGTGGGTAAGACTGATGATTATTTTCCCTTCCAGTATCATGCATAGCACCTTGTAGCTCTTTGAAAGCTACCCAGTAGGGATGAAGCTTCCAGGTCAGCACAAGCTGTTTTTTTCCATGTTCCATGTCCCAAGCATGTGCTGTTTTACCATCAAGTCCTGGGGGATAGCCAAAACATAACCCATCCCTGGCAATTATTTTATCTTAAATGTTGCTCAGAGGCTCTTTTGCTAGAACTTGGTTGCTAGCCTGTGGCACTATTGGGAGTTGGTGCACCTTTAGGAAGTGTGGCCTGGTAGAAGGAAGTTATCACTGGGGTCATGTCCTTAAAGGGGATATTGGGAAACTAGCCTCCCCTATTTCTCTGTGCTGCCCAGCTATCATGAGGTGAGCAGCCTTTTCTGCCATGTGCTTTTGTTGTGATGCTGTGTCTTGCAAGAGTCTCAAAGTGATGGGTGACCAAAGGTCTCTGAACTGTGAGGCAAAAGAAATCTCTTCTTCTTTTAAATTGTTTTCTCAGATATTTTGTTGTAGGTGTGGAAAGCTAGGTGTTGTAGGTGTGGAAAGCTCACAGACTACCTATTGGGCATATGCATTGTGAAGTCCTCCACTGCATTTCCCCTTTGTTAATACATAGGCTTCTGTTTCCTGTACATAGGCTTCTGTTTCTTGTACAATGCCATGGAAGAAAAACAGAATGTTGTTGGTACCTTGCTTTAATTATGATGTTTGTGGAAGGATCCAGTGGATACTTTTGGTCAGACTCAGGAAACTTTCATTTGCACTTGTTTTTAAATCCTGAATGAGTTTTGTATTTTTCCAAATGTTTTCTCTATGTCTATTAGGATGATGCATGATTTTCTTCCTATTATATTAGTTAACTTAAAAACTAGTTTTTGAGATATAATTCACACATAATGAAATTCATTTGTTTAAAGCATGTAATTCACAGGATTTAGTATATTCAGTGTTGTTCAACTTTCAAAACCATCTAATTCAGAACATGTGCATCACCTTTAAAGAAATTCTATATCCATCGACAGTAAATTAACATCCTTGCTCTCCTTAGCCACTGGCAGCCAGTGATTTACTTTGTGTCTTTGAATTTAATTTTCATAAAATTTCATATAAATGGAATCATACCATGTGCCTTTTGTGGCTGGCATATTGTTTTCAAGGTTAGCATGCTGTAGAATATCAGTATGTTGTTTTTATTGTCAATGCACCATATGTTTTTTAATCCATATATCAACAGGAATACTGGCTTGTTTCTACTTTTTGACCATTATGAATACTGTTGTTATGAATATCATGCATAGGTTTTGGGTGGACATATATTTGAAATTATCATGGGCATGTAAAGACAGCAAAGACAGGTGGCAACTCTACATTTAACATTGTGAAGAAATGCCAGTACCACTCACAGTTATGAGGGTCTCAATTTGTCTATAATGTCACTTATATTTGTCTTTTTTGTTTATAACCATCCTGGTTGATGTAAAGTGGCATCCCACTTGGTTTGTCTTTACACTTAAAAATAATACTTTTATTGATTCTTTGAGAATTTCATACAATTTTGTATGTATTTTGATATTAGACCCCCTCTTCCATCTCTTCTCAGATCCACCCCTACCTCCCCCTTCATGTCCTCTATATAATTTTTTAATGTCTATCTAGTCTAATATGTGTTCCCTAACCATTTTGATTTGCATTTTGCTAATGACTAATTATATTGAGCAATACTTCATGAGATCATTAGTGCGTCACCTTTTTGTTTTATATTGAAAATTATATACTCAAATACTTTCTAAAAACTGATTTGTCTTTTAATAGTGAATCATGAATCATATATTTTTGATATAAGTGACTTATCAGATATAAGAGCTTCAAATACTTTTACTGATTCTTTGAGAATTTCATATCCTGGGGAGTCTTCATTGTTTTGATGAGTCTTTGAAATGCAACATTTTTAACTTTGAGCAAGTTCAGTTTTATCTTTTTTCCTTTAGCTTTTAGTGAGATGTCTAAAACAATGGCTTAATATGAGGTTGCTAAGATTTACTCATGCATTTTCTTTATGAATAAATAGATTTGGCTCTTATGCTTAGGGCATTGGTCTATTTTGAATGAATTTTTGTGTGCACTTTGAGATAGAGGTCCAATTTCAGTCATCTGTAGATGGAAATCAAGTTGTTTTAGCATCAGCTGTTGAAGATACTGTTCTTGGTACATTAAGTGGCCTTCAAGTCCTTGCTAACACTGAATTGTCCCCAGACATATGCATTAATTTTTGAACTTCCAATTCTATTTCATTGACCTACCTGTCTGTCTTTATGTGATGACTCATCCTCCTATAGATATGCATTAAGTTTTTTAAATTTTAAACTTAATTTTTCAGAATTGTTTTTAGCTCATTCGACTCCTTTGCATTTCTATATGAATTTTAGGAATAGCCTGTCAATTTCTAAAGAAAATTTCAGCTGTTATTTTAATAGATTTAATTTGTGTATGTACCATACAAACAATAACCAAAAGAACTGGGATCACCATACAACTGCTAAATAACAGACTTTAAAAAATATTTACAGAGAATAAATATGCTTTTAATGATAAAGGGTCAATTAATGAGGAAGACATATCTTAACAGTAGATCCCAGAAATATAAAAAGGAAATGGACCTGTGATTTCTCTTTCTGGGTATATCCCTGTCTGGTTTTGTATTTCTGATGGCTTCATAGAAAAGAGTTGGGAAGAGTTTCTGTAAGATTGGCATAATTTCTTTC